TGGGGGCGGAAGGGGGCGGGGCGCGGGCGCGGGCGCGCGTGCCTGAGCGCGCGACCTCTTCTGTTGTTGCATCCCGCCGCCGCGCCGCCGTCGCCGGCTGCAGGACGCGAGCACGCGCTCCGTGTACCTCTCTCGCACAGTGTCGGAAATAGCCAAGGACTTGGACCTGGCACCCTGACCCGGTGCGTACCGCTCTCTCTGTCTCTCTCTCGCACGCACGCGCGCGTCCCCGAGCCGTGTGCCGTGCTGCTCTCTCCCTCCTGCCCTCCCTCCCTCGCTCCTTCTCACGTGTCAGTGGTGTAGCTAGCGTGGGATGATGAGGAGGGCCGGGGGCGGCAATTCTTTAGGAGTGTCACCAAGAATGAAAAAAAATCTAAGAGCTAATTTCCCTATCAGTCACATTTTCTACATCTCCGTCCGATTACCGTACACAAGACCGATGACACGTTCTGATCGACAAAATTCTAGTTACACCACTGCTCAGTGACACCTTTCCTGAACACTATTCTCTGAAATCAATGCACTATCGTTCTCAGGAATAAAGAAAGCCTTAGCACTCTCAGAGACGGCACTGTTTGCGGGATCCTACCCGAAATTCCTACAATTCTCCTAACTTCAGTAACCCTGAGTTCATTTGATACGGTTTACAAAATAAACTGAAAAACCCAGCAGCAGCACGACACTGTGCTCTAGCCCCGCCCCTCCCCTCAAAGTATGTGTGAAATCTTACGGGTCATACTACTATTTTAAAGAGGGGGAAAATGTGTTCTGTTATACTAAACTTTAAATCTCTTCCCCACTATTCGTGACCTCTGACAGTATTCGTTTCAAACAGTTTTCTGAAAAGAAAGAAAAAAATAAAGTTCAATGTTCAACTGAATGGTTTGCTTGGTAAGAATTTGACGCAGTCATACGGTAATGATGTCACAAATTGAAGTTCCTGAGGTGACGTAAGGTAGGAGGCACGGCGCGCCACATAAGGCCAAACAAACGCCCTTCTGTAGGCGGCAATGGTACTCGCATTCGGTCACCGCCGCCGGCTGAAACGACGAACTCCAGCGCGGCGCGGAACTGTCAGGGGTCGCGAAGTGCAAAGGCACCTCGCAGGTAAGTGCCGAGGCGCGTTGCTCAGACGTTTCCTCTCTCCCTCGCTGGGGAACGTTGGAACGCTCGCCAATAAACTGCAATACTCTCCAGCGCGGAAAGCGAATTAAACTGTAATTAAGCCCACATTAATAAACCCTCATTAAAGCGAACGCCTCGCCTGCCCTGCGCGCGCTCGCGACGCCGAACGGCAATAAAGCGCGCGCGCGCATTGCGACACGCGCCGCAGCCCCACAGTTCTCAACAATGGAAACAATCGAAGGGCGTCGGCGCAAAATGGCGCCGCCCTCAACAATGAGAGACAATTGAAAAACGGTGAGGTAACATGGCGCCTCCCATGGTAACAATTGAGCCCGAAGTAGGCGGCGTCGCGTCGTTTAAAAAAAGTATAAAGAAGGTAACGAGTGCTAATTCGAGGGTGAAATGTAATAAAAGGGGTCACGGAAGCTGTCGTCGGCGCGCGCGGGGCGGAGGCGCGGGCGGGGGCGCGGGGCGCCGTGTGATGCGGCGCGTGCGGGGTCCCTGTTGCAGTCGTCCGTCTGCGCTGAAATGGCGTCGGAGCTCCGCTTGGCGGTGCGGTGCCGCGGGGCCAGCCGGCCCGCG